TTTTCTCTAATTTTTTCTTATGAAATGATAAAGGTACCCATTTCATTATGCATGAGGTCAATTTTTTTTATTGGAGTTAAAGTTAACGTAGATATATGACCGAACCTAACCAACCCTACCTAACCTAACCTAACCTATCTTTATAGGTTAGGTTAGGTTAGGTAGCCGAAAAAGTTAGGTTAGGTTAGGTTAGGTAGGTTAGGTAGTCGAAAAACAATTAATTCATGAAAACTTGGCTTATTAGGCAAATCAGGCCTTGTATAGTAGGCTGAGAAGTGCGTTCTGGCTACTAGGTACGACATATATATATATATATATATATATATATAATATATATATATATATATATATATATATATATATATTATATATATATATATATATATATATATATATATATATATATATATATATATATATATATATATATATTTATATATATATATATATATATATATATATATATATATATATATATATATATATATATATATATATATATATGTCGTACCTAGTAGCCAGAACGCACTTCTCAGCCTACTATGCAAGGCCCAATTTGCCTAATAAGCCAAGTTTTCCTGAAATAATATATTTTCTCTAATTTTTTCTTATGAAATGATAAAACTACCCATTTCATTATGTTTGAGGTCAATTTTTTTTTATTGGAGTTAAAATTAACGTAGATATATGACCGAACCTAACCAACCCTACCTAACCTAACCTAACCTATCTCTATAGGTTAGGTTAGGTTAGGTAGCGGAAAAAGTTAGGTTAGGTTAGGTTAGGTAGGTTAGGTAGTCGAAAAACAATTAATTCATGAAAACTTGGCTTATTAGGCAAATCGGGCCTTGCATAGTAGGCTGAGAACTGCGTTCTGGCTACTAGGTACGACATATATATATATATATATATATATATATATATATATATATATATATATATATATATATATATATATGTCGTACCTAGTAGCCAGAACTCACTTCTCAGCCTACTATGCAAGGCCCGATTTGCCTAATAAGCCAAGTTTTCATGAATTAATTGTTTTTCGACAACCTAACCTACCTAACCTAACCTAACCTAACTTTTTCGGCTACCTAACCTAACCTAACCTATAAAGATAGGTTAGGTTAGGTTAGGTAGGGTTGGTTAGGTTCGGTCATATATCTACGTTAATTTTAACTCAAATAAAAAAAAAATTGACCTCATACATAATGAAATGGGTAGCTTTATCATTTCATAAGAAAAAAAAATAGAGAAAATATATTAATTTAGGAAAACTTGGCTTATTAGGCAAATCGGGCCTTGCATAGTAGGCTGAGGAGTGAGTTCTGGCTACTAGGTACGACATATATATATATATATATATATATATATATATATATATATATGTCGTACCTAGTAGCCAGAACGTAATTCTCAGCCTACTATGCAAGGCCCGATTTGCCTAATAAGCCAAGTTTTCCTGAATTAATATATTTTCTCTATTTTTTTCTTATGAAATGATAAAGCTAACCATTTCATTATGTATGAGGTCAATTTTTTTTATTAGAGTTAAAATTATCGTAGATATATGACCGAACCTAACCGACCCCACCTAACCTAACCTAACCTATCTTTATAGGTTAGGTTGGGTTAGGAAGCGGAAAAAGTTAGGTTAGGTTAGGTTAGGTAGGTTAGGTAGTAGAAAAAACATTAATTCATGAAAACTTGGCTTATTAGGCAAATCGGGCCTTGCATACTAGGCCAAGAAGTGAGTTCTGGCTATTAGGTACGACATATATATATATATATATATATATATATATATATATATATATATATATATATATATATATATATATATATGTATGTGTGTGTATTATTCATGATGTGTTATTGCGGTCCATGTCTGTAAGGATATGTACACTGTGTCTCACATTGTACTCATCTCTTGCGATGGAGGGATGTTATGACCACGCATACACCACTATAATCATACTGAGGCTGGTGTATGATGTGTTCCAAGTACATAGTGATATCTTGGCTGATTAGCCTATTATCACAAATATTGTAATTATTGTCTAATCTTATTTGACTGTATATTGTTTTTAATTTGTATATTGTCATTGTATGACATACATAACCAAGTCTATTATATTTCTGTTTCAAATATGTATGCCTTGTAATTGTGGATATATATTAGATGTCTAATGTATAGCAGTAGCCTAAAGTCCTGTAGCTTAAAAAAACTGTAGCTCTGTATGCTTATTGTATTTAATGCTACGTAAATGCTGTATAGGTAGATTTATGTGTACCATGATGGAAAATGTATACATTTAGATCTCAGTTGTATTACTCATATGTATATTGTGTAATTCCCATTTCTTTGTTGTTCCTTGTATTGTCCTCTTGTCATGACATTTACTGAAATTATGGCACTGTTAAATGTATACTACCTAGACAAGCTTTTGATGCACATGGTGTATATATATCTACTTTTATTTTGTATTCTTGTATACATTTGTATTAACGGTTGGCCAACGTCTTGAATCCTCCCTTAACCTCCCTCCCCCCCCCCCCACTCCCCTCTTTCCCCGCCTTTGATGTACCGACTCGTGCCAGTGTTACGAATTTTTTATGTTCATATTTTTATATCATGATAAATTCTTTAATGTACTGAATTCTTATTATGTAAGGTTTGTATTATAATATTTATTTAGTTGTGTAGTAAATTAGAAGTTCATGATTGAGTGAAGTATGTCTGAAAATGAGCTTGAGAGATTTGAAGGAGTGGAGTCAGTTGACTCATGGAGTTGGATACAATGTCGCGCCCCTGGGAGTTTGGCTGATGGCAGCACTACTCTCTGACCATCCCAGGCAAGTGCATCTGTGGCATTCCAGTCTGATATTTGTGATCTTATTTGTGTATTGTGACTGCTAGATTAATTTTCATATAACAGTATGTATATCATGGATCATTGCTACTGTTATGCATCATTTATACCAGGTGGTAGGAGTTGTATTATAGCTTAGTGAGATGATTTATTCTGAGGAACTTAAGTATATGCCCAGGTGCTGTATGTGATATTGTTTCCTCATGCCTCATGTGTTATTGGTTGAGACACCACCACCCTGTATTGGTATTAGCAGCATATAGGCGCTAGTGTTCCACTGCGCCAGGACAGAGCCTGGTGTCAGCTAGTGCTGATTGATGCAGTTTCCAGACCTGTTTTTGGTGATCATGCCCAGTTGTTGAGAAGCTGGAAAAAGTAATTGTGTGTGAGTTAGTAGATGGTTACTCTTTTAATGTTATTGGGATTTATATTAATGCCAGTAATGGAATATTTAAAATTTATATTTAAATTTTATTTATATAAAAACTGGAATATTTTTTATTAGCCTTTCACTCCCCTAGAACATTGATTGATATTTGCCCAGGCTATATGTTCCATTGATGCTGAAGGTTACTCCCTCTCATAACTCTAAATTAGGGTCTTGTCCGTGTTCGTAACAAGCATATTGACCCTTCTTCGACCAGATACTCAAACATCAGTACGTTGCGATCGCTCATTCCCCCAGGGGCTTCAAAACCGATTTCCATTATGTCAGAGTCGTTCAGAGTGAAGACTAGGCTGAATCTCGCTGGTTCATCGTTGCCTCTCATTCTTGCGGGTTCACTGGCATTGCTGACTTAAAATGTTCCTTGTAGCCCCTGCCAACAGTTTCGCTCACCATGTTTCCTCACCTCTGTGTGGTTCCTTGTTTTTCCAGTCTATCTTTCTATGACTGAAGTCCTCCATGATGAGCAAGTGGGATTTATTTCTCCAGGCAGCAGTGGCTGCTCTCTCATTTATAGCATTGACTGCCATGTTGTTTCTGTCATACTCTTGCCTGGGTTTTCTATCGTTTGGTGGAGGGTTTTATATATCACTGCTACTATTACTCTCGGTCCTCCCATTGTCCTGGTGCCTGTAATATAGTCTCTGAACCCCTTGCAGCCTTGGATAACCATCTCCTCGAAACTCCATTCCTTTCTTATCAGTAAGGTCATTCCGCCTCCACGCCTTCCTTCCGTCTCACGCCTTATTCGGTGTAGTCCTGGGGAAACACCTCATTCCCTATTATTCCTGAGAGATTTTGTGTCCATGAGTCCAATTACATCCGGGTTCCCTTCATGTGTTCTTTCTCTAAGTTCACTTGCCTTGCTTGCAATCCCATCTGTGTTTGAGTACATTACATTGAAACTGGCTCTTCATTCCATCCTCAGTTTCTGTTGATTCCACTAGGGTAGGGGGACAAGGGGTGTCTAAGGTGGGAGGGTCTAGGGAGAAGGTCCTGGCGGGTCAGGGGAAAGAGAGAAGGCTGGGATGGTCCGGTATGGAGAACCTAAGAGGGGTTAGAGGTGTTGTAGCCGAGAGGATCTGGGAATGGGAGTCAAATAGAGCTTGCGATGGGGGAGCAGGAGGGGCATGTGTAAAGGGGGGTCGGAGGACATTGGTTGGAGAATGCAGGGGAGCCTGGGGAATAAGGGGCCGGCGAGGAGGGTGGGGGTTTGGGAGGGAAGGGGAGCCTTGGATGGGGGAGGGCAGGGAGGGAGGTGGGTGTTTGAGGAACGAGAGCTTGGGGAGAGGGTACTGGATAGGGTGTGTACTATGTGTGTGTTTGTTTATGCATTTCTGTATGTGTTTGTTCCCTTGTCTTCTTTCAACAATCTTGTTTAAGTAAACTAATAAATTCATGAACTTCATCAGCCTATGTAATACTTCGTATAATTCTAGCCCATACACAAGTGATATCAATGGAATTTAAATGCACTCTTGCAGAAGATTTAATAATAAATATAATTTATAAGAAATTTTATTTTTCTAAGCTGACTTACGCAGGAAAAGAGTTGTGCTTTATTCATTTAGTAATCAATTTACAATGAATATTAATAACAAAATTATAGGGCATTATGTTAATTAACTAAAAGAACCCCAAGATCATATTTGATCTTCATGATCGTAGAGAAGCTCGATGAATATTTGGGAGCACAAAGATAATTCAGGAGCACTAGATAATTCAGGAACTCTGTGCTATACAGGAGTTCCGTTATTATGTACGAACTGTGTTGATAAAGAAGCTTCATTATAACACAGGAGCAGCAGAAATATACAGGACATCTATGACAATGCAGGAGCTGAATGATTACATAGTAGCTGAATGACTACATTGGAGCACAATGATTATAAAGGAGCTCCATGCCCAGGACAAGCAGACTCAGAACCAGGCCACACACCAGCACAAGCAGCATGCCCTGAAAAAGTTACAGTGATGGTGAAAATATGTCAATACTTCGATTTGCACAAATGGAATCTCTGTATTATCGAAAGAAGTTGATCAGTCTTTCACATTCATTCATATAAATTTATGTCATATAATATTAAAATGCTTCAGTTAATATTACCATGGTGTTAACGATGGAAAGTGAAGTCTGGATGGCAACCTTTGTCGGAAGATTAGTACAGAAGGAATAATTTTGTAATAATTCTTCATTCCACTGGCTGTAGAGCCCGGATTCAGTTAACCTCATGATTCTGGTAACATTTCATTAATATGTAATATTAATTAAAATTATATATTTTCTTCATTAGATATAGAAATTGAGGTATTTATTAAAAAAATAAGACGAAATTTCATTTTTTTTTACTCTAGTTTGTTGGGAATATATATATTGTGAGGGGTATTTGGTTGATAAGGATATTTGCAAAATGTTACCAACATATCTACACTGAGTAATTTGAAGAATTTAATATACATTTTTGATAGGAGTATAATTATTCTTGCACACACGTGTTCCTGGATATTCGTGCATTATGATACTACAACTATTGAGGTATATGAACGGATTTTTAAATATATAAGGAATTGCACCTCTTGCTGAAGACAGGCACGAGGGGGTGGCCCCTGGAGAAGCATATGGAGTACATCAGCGGCAGGAACTCCTCCCTCGCCAAGTAGTAGTCACACCGACCTGCAGATGAAGACCTCTGCAGGTCAACATGGCCAATATGTTTGATATCCAACAGTCTATGACAGTGCTTCAGTTATCAGTTTTAATGTGAATTAAACAAAATAATGACAAAAATACAAGATTGTATTTAAACAGAAACAACAACAATAATATTCTGAATTCGTGCTTTGAATGGTTTAGACAAAAATTAAATCAAAAGAGAGTAGTATAGAGTAATATAGAACTCAAGATTCTTTGTATTCTTCAGAGGTGATCTTAGCTACTGAAATCTCCAGCAAGATTGTAAAAAAATTGAGTTCCTATAATTCAACATGAATCATATAGGATACATTTTTACTTGCAATATTGCATTAAATATCTTTGGAATTAGATATGACATCATTAGCACCCTCATAAAATCGTTTTAAGGTAAACATCTTTAATAATTTATAGCCTAACACCTTTTCCAAATTACCAAACTCACAGTATGACACAGTTTCAGGAAAACTTTCATGTGATACACCTAAAAATGAAGCAGAAAGTCACCACTGCAGCGAACTTACAAGTATTTTACGGTGAAGTTAATGGCAAGAAAACTGAGCTGAAAGGCTTGCTTGACAACATCGCAGCCGAGATTTTTCAAAATGTGCAAAATTTCATAAAAAAAATCAGGACATTTTCCCAGTTGGTTCAATATCCACATGTACTTTTCTTTCAACATTGAATTAGAGTTACTCAATATTGTGCCAACTTGGTAATGTTCGACTTTGAAATTAATGTAAATGAATTTGTTTTATAAATAAATAATTTTTTTGTGATCCATTTGGGTGTGGTCCTTCTCCCATACTTTGCATGTGAGCACAATTGAGATAAGCCACAAGAATCGTATATAAATATTATGATTCAAGAAGAAATAACACGTAAATATTTTTTATGATTGAAACCAAATTTTTACCTTCAGTGACTACATGCATTATAATTTTGCTCTTTGTATACAAGTGTCTAAAAACCTGTTTGTACACTTTAAGCTCAAACAACCTGAAATGAAGTGTTCAACAAAACCAAACATTCTGACAGAAGTTGATATGAACTTTCGTCACTTTGACATTACCTAAAATGTTCGTTCATCTCAGAGGTTGTCATACATTGTAACAACTGCTACCAACTTTTAAATTAAACCTATATTTTATTCAAACACAGAAAAAGTAGAGCTTTAAGTCACCATTTAATAAAATTGTCTAAATGCAACAGATTCTGAAGGATTTCTTTAGAATCTAAGACAATTATATATATGAACATACGAAGATTTGTAATTATTTTGATCTCTTAAAATCATATCATGAAAAATTCTACTTTGTATTTATGATATTTATCATCATTAAAAACTTCTTATGTTAGTATTTACTTACAAAAAAATATTACTCATTTCAACCTTTGTTTCTTAGCTTATAAAATTGTTAAATCATATTAAGAAAGTCCCCCCACAAACTAGTGGTAAAAAATGTCAAGTTATTATTGCATCTATGGATTAAGTACAATTACATTACATCATTATTCTGCATTGTACATGCTTAGTTATAATAATGTATTAGTAAAGCATGACAAAATCCTTCTCAAGCATGATTAAATCATTATTGAATTCATAGAGAGTAAAAACAAGTATATATATATATATATATATATATATATATATATATATATATATATATATATATATATATATATATATATATATATATATATATATATATATATATATATATATATATATATATATATATATATATATATATATATATATATATATATATATATATATATATGTCGTACCTAGTAGCCAGAACGCACTTCTCAGCCTACTGTGCAAGGCCCAATTTGCCTAATAAGCCAAGTTTTCATGAATTAATTGTTTTTCGACTACCTAACCTACCAAACCTAACCTAACCTATCATTTTCTGCTACCTAACCTAACCTAACCTATAAAGATAAGTTAGGTTAGGTTAGGTAGGGTTGGTTAGGTTCGGTCATATATCTACGTTAATTTTAACTCAAATAAAAAACATTGATCTCATACATAATGAAAAGAGTAGCTTTATCATTTCATTAGAAAAAAATTAGAGAAAAACAATTAATTCATGAAAACTTGGCTTATTAGGCAAATCGGGCCTTGCATAGTAGGCCGAGAAGTGCGTTCTGGCTACTAGGTACGACATATATATATATATATATATATATATATATATATATATATATATATATATATATATATATATATATGTCGTACCTAGTAGCCAGAACGCACTTCTCGGCCTATTATGCAAGGCCCGATTTGCCTAAAAAGCCAAGTTTTCATGAATTAATTGTTTTTCGACTACCTAACCTACCTAACCTAACCTGACCTAACTTTTTCGGCTACCTAATCTAACCTAACCTATAAAGATTGGTTAGGTTAGGTTAGGTAGGGTTGGTTAGGTTCGCTCATATATCTACGTTAATTTTAACTCCATTAAATAAAATGAACCTCATACATAATGAAATGGGTAGCTTTATCATTTCATAAGAAAAAAATTAGAGAAAATATATTAATTCAGTAAAATTTGCCTTATTAGGCAAATCAGGCCTTGCATAGTAGGCTGAGAAGTGCGTTCTGGCTACTAGGTACGACATATATATATATATATATATATATATATATATATATATATATATATATATATATATATATATATATATATATATATATAAGGGAAGGGAGTACCACCTCTAGCTGGAAGAAGGGGGACCCATAGCCTCGGAGGAAACCACGCATAACGCATTAGAGGGAATGTTTAGATCCCCTCCAATACAGTTTCTGTGTGCTTTTCTCCTACCACCCCCTTCCTTAAATATTTTTTGTGCTTTATTATGCATTTGATGGTTACAAGATATACATGGGTTGATACAAAAATAATAATGCAAAAAGGTGCTTAAAGGTTATGGATCTCTTGAAAAACACAACAATGGGAAACATTGATGAATGCCACAGACGGGTTCGATCATTGTTGCAAGTTAAAAACTTCTTCGAATTTCTCTGAAGTTGGACTAGTGCCCAAGACGCAACAGGCATTTCCCCTCTGAATCGTAACACTGAGGCGCTGGAACAAGAAACTTTTTGCTCTCTGGTCTTTTGTAGCGCTGATCAATTTGTCCCCCAATTCCTTCAGGAACTTCAATGCACATATTCCCCACGAACCGAGGGTCTCCGAGCCGATCGGAACAAAGCTGTAGCAGTGTGCTAGACCTCTGTATTTAATAATTTTCTGCGATTCCCTGAAAGAAGCAGCACCACCACTTTCACGTGTGCTGTAGTGGAGGTAGGTACTGGTCAGTGTGGCAGCGTACGTGTAGTCCCACATCACTTGCTTACCATCCTTCCAAGGTAGCAAGGTGACCCCATCTGGGCGCTTCTGAGGGTCGTTAGGTCTGGATAAGTGTGGTTCTCTTTGTGCCTTGCAGTGGGCTGTGGCGAGGCTCCTTTTGATGATGTCGTTGATTTCTTCATGTCGTGCAATTTTACCCTGTGATTTACGACATACCAGACCATGACGACCATATTGGTCTGCCATCTAATATATATATATATATATATATATATATATATATATATATATATATATATGTATATATATATATATATATATAATATATATATATATATATATATATATATATATATATATATATATATATATATATATATATATGAGCAAAATTGAATGAATTAGGACAAACGAGTAGTTATGACAACTTTATGCCTTAGATGCTATTTAGAACACTTTGCACCTATATTTAGCTTATTTCAATATTTTTGTTTTACCTTCATCTAGTTGTGTGCTGGAGAAAATAGTTAACAAGAACTGATAATTCATCTTTTAGAGCAGTAGTAGTAGTAGCAATTTTAGAAGTGTTATTTTTGCCAAATATAATTCTGAATATGTTTAAATACTAATTGGAATAATAAAATACCTTTTTTTGAGAATTCTTGGGTTATCATTGACTTCATTAATTTATTTTCGGCAATAATAACGTGGTGTCCGTTTTTCACAAGAGTATTAAAGACCACGGAGTACTCCTTCATCGTCCTTAACTGAAGACGATGTTTTTTCTCCAAGTCAGCGATGTCACGTAATATACCAGCCTTTGAAGTCTAAATAGAGTAAACATAAACATATATATATATATATACATATACATATATATATATATATATATATATATATATATATATATATATATATATATATATATATATGTCGTACCTAATAGCCAGAACGCACTTCTCAGCCTACTATTCAAGGCCCGACTTGCCTAATAAGCCAAGTTTTCATGAATTAATGTTTTTTCGTCTACCTAACCTACCTAACCTAACCTAACCTAGCTTTTTTTGGCTACCTAACCTAACTTTACCTATAAATATAGGTTAGGTTAGGTTAGGTAGGGTTGGTTAGGTTCGGTCATATATCTACGTTAATTTTAACTCCAATAAAAAGAAATTGACCTCATACATAGAGAAAAGGGTTGCTTTATCATTTCATAAGAAAAAAATTATAATAAATACATTAATTCAGGAAAACTTGGCTTATTAGGCAAATCGGGCCTTGAATAGTAGGCTGAGAAGTGAGTTCTGGCTACTAGGTACGACATATATATATATATATATATATATATATATATATATATATATATATATATATATATATATATATATATATATATGCCTATACTTGCATAAACCACAAGTGAAGATAAACAATCTTTGGACAACACCCACCAGTGGGACTCGAACCCAGAAAGCACAACTACCTTCCAGTAGCTGGCATAACTAGTATGCTTTAACCCACTACGCCATCAGACCTTACAAAAGAAGTAGATAGTTCGAGATATATATCTCAAACATCTCTACCTCCCGAAGGCACCAGATGAGTGAGGGGTCAGTCTGCATTTTTCGTCAAGCCACTGTCAATGTGAGAGAACTCGTGTCCAGCTTATAAGCCTATACTTGCATAAACCACAAGTGAAGATAAACAATCTTTGGACA